AGCCCCGCCCCGCAGTCTACCACGTGATCTTCATCTACTGCGCTGTCCGGGGCCACCGGGGCTTCCAGTTCTTCTACCTGCCCTACTTCGAGAAGTGAGGCTTAAGCCGCGAGAATGGCCGAGTTCCAGCGCGGGCGCCGAGCGGCCCGGGGGCGCCCCGGATCTCCAGGGAAAAGCCCCCACCACCACCCCTGCTCTCCAGGACGTGCGAGCCCCAGGCCCCTGGGTTTGCTCAGGAAGTTTGGGGCGCACAGGCCCCGCCCACCCCCTAAAAAAAAACGGGGAAAGTCGCCCCTTGCCCGCCACGTGCCTTAACTTATTCCTGCCCGCGAGGCGGCCGGTTGGCGTTTTATATTAATAAAGGAGTGGTGGCTACCGGCCAAGATTTCACTCTTCCCTCCCGCAGCCAACCCCCCAACCAAGGACTGACCTTGGGGCTCTCGCTCAGTTCCTCGTGCACAGGACACAAGTGACGCCCCATGACCTGCACCGGAGTGCACAGCGTCCCTGGCAGAGCCAGGTCCGGGACCCCCGCCCTTCACTGAAGGAGCCTCTCTGGTCTCCCTCCTCCCCTTGCTGCTAGCAGAGCTGACCCTGCCCCCTGTCCATCTGGAGGGCACAGCGGATGTCACCGTCACCTCTCTGGTGGCCCTGGCCAAGGGCACTTCCAGATGACCAGGCCTGGGACCTGGAAGCTGATGTCCTGGTTGCAGCCTGGCTCTGGGGCTCTGGGCTGGGCCAGGGCAAGGCACGCCCACGCCCACCGGCCTACCTCCCAGGCCCAGCCTCTGGGGACAGTAGAGGCAACAGCAAAGCACACCGGTACTCACACACAGCCTTAGTGGCCAAAGGCACAGAGACTCAGGGTCAGACCATCTCAGAATCTGAGGAGCCAAGACACAGACACTTCCTCCAATTTTATTTGCCAATCGTTTACATATAACTAGATACAATTCCCGGGTATATGTGCACAGGCTTCACTCATCCTCCACCAGACCTTCAGAGCCAATGCCCTGCCCCCTCTTCCCTTGCAAGAAACAGATATAAAACCCTAACATCTGAGATCACGTGAGCGACCATCTCCCAACGCTCATAAGTCACCAAGTTTCTCTTAAAGATTTACTTAATTATACACACAAGAACAGGTGTAGTCCAGAGGTTGGGGGTGGGTGAGAGCATTCGCCAGAGACAGAGTGGCGAGCAGCACAGGCAGACTGAGACACACGGCTGAGGGGAGCAGCGGGGAGACAGGAGGGGTCTGCGGCGCCCTGGGGGTCCCTCCCTGGCGGGGGGGGGGTGCTGCAGTGGCTGTGGGCGCTCCCTAACCCCTGTGCCACCAGGGAGGGGCCCAGTCTCCAAGTTTCATGCTCAACACCTGCCGGTCTCGTCTAGCAATCTGCACCACGTCAGCCCATTTAGCAGATGAGCAGACAGGGCCAGAGAGCCGGACTGCCCGGGGGTGGGCAGTGGATGGACCCAGTGTCGGAGTGGGCAGCCCGGCGGCCCAGCCTCCCTCCAGGAACAGTCTCCCACAAGTGTAGCCGTTCCTCAGACAGCACGGCTGCTTGCTGGGCTTTCTTTCTGCCGTGTGCTTCACAGGTGAATTCCTCCCGCTCTGGTTCTAACGTATCTTTCAGTGTGCTCCTGCCTCTGCGGACATGTTTCTGGAAAATACTCAGCCAGCATCTCCCTGAGCATGGATGGCCACGTGCCCATGGCCTGTGTTTCCCGACTCGGTGACGACATTCACCTCCCTTCTCATTTCCCACTTTCACTCAGTGCCCCGACGGCCTCACAGGCGGCCTGCAGGTCCTGGATCCTCTCTTAGACGGCATCTGATGGCTAATGCTGCTTAACTAGTCGCTAAGACATTTTCATCCCCATGGCTCCGTCCTATGTGCTTAGATTCCACTAGGACATATAGACACATGTAGACACACATCTACATTTACGTGAATGTGTATATCTTTACTGACATGAACAGATATATGCATCTCTATTTACGCTTCCTCCTCCATGCTTACTCTGCCGGCTAACTCGGTTTCTCTTCCTTCTTTTGTCTCAGAAGCGTCTGCAGTCCATTTAGGCTCCCTTAGACTGTGCTACTTTCTAGACTTCCGTTTGCTGCGTCGCCTGGTTCCCAGAGATGACTGTTTCCTTCCGTGACTTACAGCTTGTGTTGTCAGCTCGTGCTCAGAGTGGCAGGTCTCGTGTCTCACGGCCTGGGGTGGAGACAGCGTCCCGCCCCTTTGCTCTCTCACGCTGGGTCAGACCACACTGGGGCTCTGGGTGCAGGCCTTGGCGTCTGGGCCCATCTCAGACTGGTCAGGGCGCTCGGTCGGAGTCACCTTCTCAAGAACAGCACGACGCTTTGAGACCCTGGCACAGGGTGACGGCCGTCTCACCCCCAGCCTCCTCCTCACCCCTGGGTGCCACGGCCCAGGGTCGGAGAGCTCTCGGGTCTGAAGCCCCGGGGTGCCACCTCCGCCTTTGAGTTCTCCCTGTCCCTGGCACCTAGCTCATCCCTTTCTTTCAAGTTCTCTCCAGGTGGCTGGGGTGGGAGGGAGGTGAGGTGGGGAGGGCAGGTGACATCAGGAGACACTCTGGTCAGGGGTTGTGGGGCAGAAGCCTGGGGCCACGGGCCTCTTCCCCCGGGGTCTCGTGAGAGGGCACGGCAGGCCCTGCTGGGATCTGGGCCACAGGACAGCGTGTCTTCCGCCCTCGAGCCTTCCGCCTTCCAGCCTCAGGGGATGGACAGCATCATCACGAACTCTGCGGGGGACCCAGGACGGGGCTTAGCCGACTGTGGGGGCGCGTCTGCCTGGGAGCCGGCCGCCCCGGGTCGTGAGGGAAGCAGACTCACCATCAAAGTCCACAGAGCCGTCCCCGTTGAGGTCCACTTCCCGGAGCATCGCGTCCAGCTCGGGCCCGGCCAGCGGCTCCCCCAGCAGGGCGGGTGCTGCCTGCTGCAGCTCCGCCACGCTGACTCGTCCGTCCCTGTCCCTGTCCAGCTGGGGGCCCGCAGGCACAGTCACGCCCACAAAGCTGGCTGCTGCCGCCTCCCCCACCGAGGCAGGCCCCTCTCCGGAGTCTCCCTGGGGGCTGCCCCAGCTGGGGGTGAGCGGAGCCCCTCCAGCCCCTCCCTGGCCGCAGCCCACGGTGTGCAGGACCACGGCCACCAGTGCCCTGTGGCCTGGGCGGGCGGCCGCGCAGCCCCAGCTCCGAACCTCTCGGAAGGCGACGCGCAGCTCCCGAACCCCCAGCATGTGCGCCGTCTCCTCCCTCAGCCTCGGGGCTATCAGCGCCACAAATTCCTCGAAGTCCACGCAGCCGCCCACTGCAGGCCCAGGGAAGCGTCGCTGTGAGGGACGGTGCGCCAGCCCCTCCCCCGTCCAGGAGGGCTGCTTGGGCCCCTGCCCTCAGGTGGGAGGAGGCTGAAGCCCCGGACCTGCTGGGGGAGGCAACTGGGGAGAGGGCATGGCCCCTCAAGGAAACCCCCGAGTGTGGGCATCGCACAGCTCAGGGCACAAGCTGGCCTCTGCTGCCCGTGGGGCTGGCCTGAGTGACCTGCTACCCCTCCTCACCCTCCTTGCACCTGCTGGGGGCTTTGAGTTACGGGAACCCCGCAGGCAGCAAACAGCCGTGGGCCCTCCAGCCCTGGGTTCTAAGATGCCACCAAGTGGCCAAACAGCTTGGGCCTCACCCATGGGTGTAAATCATTCCCACTTGGGAAGCTGCAAAGAAAAGGCAAACGGGGTGGGTGTTCAGGAATGACGGGAGCTGATGTTTGTCGGAGGGCAAATCTGCCCCGGTAGGTTTAATCACCAGGCCGCCGGCCCGGCACGCCAGCCCCTGCCCAGCTGGGGAGGCTCTTCTCAAGGAGAAGCCCCGCGGGGGCAAGCACGGGCAGGGAGCGGAGCCTGGCAGGAGGCCGTGGGTCAGGCGGAAGGCCAAGCGTGGAGTGGCCAGAGGCCCCCCGAGCCCACTGCCCAGTCCTCCTCTTGGCCACTCCCCGGGTCCCTGCCTCTGACGGCGTCACTGTGGCCTGCCCCGGACACTGTGTGCGCCCTCATCCCACCGGCCACCCCCCACCAGGCCCCCATCACTCTGTCGCCTGCCCCAACTGAGCGCCGAGGCCGCCCCGCCCCCCCGCCCGCCCGCGTGGGCCCCCACGGACTGCGCATCTTCACGTGCTGGGAGACCTCCAGGAGCTCCATCTCGGTGGGCATGTAGCCCAGCGTCCGCATGCAGGCGCCCAGCTCGCGGTGGCCGATGTAGCCGTCCCGGTCGCGGTCGAACTCCTGGAAGGCCGCCTGCAGCTCTGCCGGGCGGGGCGGTCAGGCCCAGCAGCCGGGCCTGGGAGCCCGCCGCCCGCCGCCCGCCGCCAGGGCCACTCACCATCCAGCTCCTCCGGGCCCAGCGTGCGATCCTGCGGGGACAAAGGCCAGCAGTCCCCGGGCCGGCCAGGGCTCAGGCCACACTCGTCCTCCAGCCCAGACCCGAGGGCAGGAGGAGTCCCGCGGGCCTCGGAGAGCAGACGCGGCCCTCCCTGCGCCCCTCCCTGCCCCCTGGGCTCTGCAGAACTCAGCCCGGCCTCCCTGCCCTGACTGCTGGGACTCCTGCCCAGGCGCCAGTGGAGCAGAAGAGGCAGGAGCCGGGGCACTGGGGCGGGGTGCTGGGCTGGAGGGCTGCGGGCCCCCCCACCCGGGGCCCGGCCTGCCCAGGTCCCAGCTGACCTTCCCGAAGAGGCGGCTAAGCAGGGGCCCATAGGTCTCCTGGGCAGCATCTTGCTGGGAGCAGGGGCGACGCGGGCGGTGGGACTGGCGGCGACGGGGGGGCCCCTGGGCTGCAGAGACTGGCCCCGCCTGCCCTTCTCTGGTCCTGGGTGGGTTCTGGCCGCTCCCCAGGACCTCAGGGCCCTGACTAGGGGTCTGTACCCCAGAGCTGCCAGTGCCCTTCCAGGATCCTGGTGGCCCCTTCTCCTTCTTGCTCCTCCTCCTGGTCAAGGGGAGCCCCTCGGCACCACTCTTGGGAGCCACACGGGACTCCTGGGGGCGGGGGGCCGGACCCGAGCCGTGCGGCTCCCTTGTCTGCTCTGTGGCCATGTGGAGGGGCCCAGGGGGCTCAGAAATGGTACCACGGAGTGTCGGCCCACAAAGCTGCTTACGCACCCCCACCCGAGCTCCGGCTCTGAGTGAGATTAGGGTAAGTGAGGCTGGCAGCTCAGGCCCTAATCCAGGGCACAGCCAGCTGGGCAAGGGAACTGTCTGCAGCAGCGGGGCTGCCAGGGCAAGGTGGCCGCTGAATTTGGACCCAGCTCTGCCAGCGGGGCTGGGCAGCCCGGCAAACTGGCCTCTCCGAAGTCTCCACCACCTCTGTAGCACGGGGTCGGTTTTCCTGAAGGGTCAGGGTGCAGCCTAGTTGTAGGACATGGACCAGACTCGGCTGGGCACAGCGCTCGGGGCCGCTGGCAGTGGGAGGCTGGCGGTGATTGGCATGCAGAGTTGCCCCGCTGAGAGCCCTCGCTGGGCAAACCCCGGCTGGCCGAGAGGCCGGGCAAAGAGGCCCCGAATGCCGGATCAAGGGGCATAGGGCTGACACCGGAGGGGGCGACCCCTTCGGGCCCCACAGCCAGTCTGAGCTAGAGGGGCCCTGCGTGAGGGGGTTTCGGGGAGCAGGGGGCCTGGCTGGTCACTTGGCCTACTGGGCCGGGGTTAGGGTTTCCCGAGAGCAGCCCATGAATGATTGATGTCCCCTCAGCTTAGGTTTCACGCCGGCGCCTCGGGCCATGAGCAGGCCCGGTGTGGGGCCATGTGGACGGCTGGACCTCCCGGCGGCCAGGCGCGCCCGCTCCTTCCGGCCGGCAGCCGGCGCTTCACTGGTAAGCCAGGCCTCACCGCTCAGTCTGGGGGTGCCCAAGGCTCCGACGCGGAGCGTGCGGAGTGTGGCTGGCCTGGGGAAGGGCCCTGGTGGGCGGCCGCCAAGCGCGAGGCCAGGCAGAAGGAGTCGCAGGCCGCGGGCCACACCAGCCTTTTGGGGCCCTGGCTCCACCCTCACCCCTCTGCCAGCTGGAGAGGGGAGGCAGCAGCTCCCGGCCGCACCCTTCCTCCTCACCCCTGCTGAGGCCGCGCCTCAGTAGGCCCAGGGAAGGTGGGTCCCCAGCCTGCGCTGCAAGCACAGGAGGGACCCCCAGGGGGAGGGCAGAGAAGCTGCTGTGGCCAGCGGGCTCTGGGCCCTGAGCCCAGCCCTGCCCCGCCCGCGCCTGCAGCCCTGCCGGAAGGGACCTCCCACGCTGCCCGCTGGACTCCCAAGGGCCAGGCGCCCTGAGCCCTGCCCCTGAATCTTGAGCCCCGCGTGCCACACAGAAAAAGGGTCACACAAAGTGGGTTTCGCTTGTGCATTCTTTTGTCTTTTGTCGATTTTCTTTTTCTCTCTTTAAAAAATGTAGGATTTTCTTTTTCTCCATGTGGCCTGCCCAGGAGTCCAGGGGTGCGCTCTCCTCCTTGAACCTGAGCTCCCCTTTAGTGTACACGTAGTTCCACTACCGCATTTAACGTCAAGAAAACAGCCACCAGTTTTAAGAAGTAATACTGGTAATGCTTGAAAGGCCGGGTTTGGTGTCCCTGGACACCCGGGTTCCTGCGAGCTGCCGAGGGCCGGCGCTGCCCTGCCCGCCTCTGACCTGGTGCTGATCCTCCGAACCTGCCTCCCTGCCTGCGAATGGACCGGCCAGGCCCTTACTGGGGTCCCTGCTCAGGCTAACAAGCCAAAAGGGGGTGATGCTGGCTCAGAGAGGGACAGTCACTGCCTGGAGACACACAGCGCCCTCTCTTGGACTCATTCTCGCTTTCATTGGTTCACAGGTGCCCACCCGTGCCCAGATGGACACTGCTCTGGAGGCCAGCCTGGGCGCCACTGGCCACAGGCCCCGCACTGAGCCTGATGATGAGGACTACTACCCGCAGGGTGGCTGGGATGTGGTCTTCTTGGTGGCCCTGCTGATCCTGGGGCTGCCGGCCAACGGGCTTATGGCGTGGCTGGCCGGCTCACAGGCCCGGCAGGGAGCGGGCACGCGGCTGGCCCTCTTGCTGCTCAGTCTGGCCCTCTCAGACTTTCTGTTCCTGGCAGCAGCAGCCTTCCAGATCCTGGAGATCCAGCATGGAGGGCACTGGCCCCTGGGGACAGCTGCCTGCCGCTTCTACTACTTCCTGTGGGGCGTCTCCTACTCCTCCGGCCTCTTCTTGCTGGCAGCCCTGAGCCTGGACCGCTGCCTGCTGGCGCTATGCCCAGGCTGGTACCCCGGACGCCGCCCGGTCCGCCTGCCCCTCTGGGTCTGTGCTGGGGTCTGGGTGCTGGCCACACTCTTCAGCGGGCCCTGGCTGGTGTTCCCTGAGGCCGCCGTCTGGTGGTATGACGTGGCCATCTGCCTGGACTTCTGGGACAGCGAGGAGCTGCCGCTGCGGATGTTCGAGATCCTGGGGGGCCTCCTGCCGTTCCTCCTGCTGCTCGTCTGCCACGTGCTCACGCAGGCCGCGGCCTGCAAGGCTTGCCGCTGCGGCCGGCCCGAGCCCCCCGCCTGCCGTGGCTTCGCCCGGGTGGCCAAGGCCGTCCTGTCGGCCTACGTGGTCCTGCGGCTGCCCTACCACGTGGCGCAGCTGCTGTACCTGGCCTTCCTGTGGGACGTCTACCCTGGCTACCTGCTCTGGGAGGCCCTGGTCTACTCCGACTACCTGATCCTGCTCAACAGCTGCCTCAGCCCCTTCCTCTGCCTCCTGGCCAGCGCCGACCTCCGGGCCCTGCTGCGCGCCGTCCTCTCCTCCTTCGCCGCGGCCCTCTGTGAGGAGCGGCCAGGCGGCGTCACACCGGCGGAGCCGCAGAACCGGGCAGACTCTGGGGGCCAGACTCTGCCAGGGCTAGTGGTTGAGGCCCAGCCACAGGCGAACCCCACAGCGCAGTCACAGGTGACCCCCACTGCCCAGCCAGAGGTGACCCCCACCACTCAGGCAAACCCCAGCCCCCAGCCACAGGTGAACCCCACCACCCAGCTGGAGGTGAAGCCCACCGGCCAGCCACAGGAGCCCACCAGCATCCCGCCACAGGAGACCCCAACCGCCCAGCCACAGGAGACCCCCAACGCCCAGCCACAGGAGACCCCCA